TTAGAGATTTTTTTAACTTTTTATCTAATTAATTTTGTATTTATCATAATTATTTATAAATTAAAATTAATTATTATCAATAAATAAAAATAATATTGTGTTATTTAAATTATTTATCATAAATTTAAAATATAATTTATGTGTTTAAAAATTTCTATTTATACACATAAAAGGGAATATCTCCTTTATTATATTATAGTAAGTATAAAAGTATAGATATATTATATTTGAATATAAAAATATATCTATCTATATATTATTATAGGTAAAATAATTTCATAAAATTTTTTTTGCCCGGAATTACATAGTCCGAGACTAATTGTTTTCTAAAACTTTTTAGACTTTTAAAATTCAAATGCTTCCTATTAATTATAAAATAAATTAATTTATGTCAATTTTGCACATACATAAGCTTTCATAAAATTAATCTATATCTATATCGATATGCTAATAAAAGTTTTGTAATTGTCCCACAATTTTGTTAAAAATAATTGTCACAGTACTTATTCAACAACCAAAAAACAAAAACAGTTTAATATCTTATCTTAATACGTAAACATCTAAGATACTCTCTATATAGGTATGGTTCATACGGATGACTTATTAGGTTCCTGTTGAGGACTATTTGGAAAGGCCTACGTATCAAAGGCACGATAAGCTCATCTACAATAAAGGTTTAAGTCATAATGTAACAACCCTCATATTTGACCTCTAAAAGATGCTATTTCACGACACTTCACTTTTCAACGTGTTTTGTCCTTATTGCACATTTTCTAGGAAACTTCCTAGAAAGTCACCCATCCATATATATATTACTCCAAGTCAAGCACGCTTAACTGTAGAGTTCTAATAAGATAAGCTACCAAAAAGTAGATGCATGTTGTCCGTATAAGTAGTATAAATTAATTCATTTAAGTCATCCTCAACTATACAATCTCATACTTATACTATTTTTAGATCTCTCTCATTTTGGTATGTCTAGACCGCTATAAAAATATAAAAATTATATAATAATTATATTACCAATAATAATAATTATATTTAATTAATCTTTATTTATATATATATATATACTTACTTGTATAATTAACAATTTACTTATTTCTATTTAAAAATAATATTATGATACAATTTAAATTAATTATTATAAATTTAAAAGTTTAAATAAAAATTTATATATTTTAAAATTATAATCTTAAATTTTCAATCATTAATAAAATACTAATTTAAAATCTTATCTAATTATATCCTAATATTTTCATATCAAATTTAAAACCATATATTAGTATGTTATTTTTTTTATCATCAATTAATTTATAAAAATAAAAAATTTAAGATGACAATTTTTAATACTAAGAGTAAAAAACTTTCAATCTAACGGTTGAATTTATAAAACTCACATTTAATATAAAGTTATTGAACGGTGTAATACTTAGTAAAAGTTACACCGGTGTTATTATAACCCTTCTCTTTTAAAATATTATTTTTATAAATTAAATTTTAACATTTTAAATAAATTATTAATTAACTTAATATATTTGTTCTTCTTAAAATATGACTAAGGGAGGCGCATGCGAGGAAGAATGACTAAGGGAGAGCGTTGCATTTTTTAAGTAGTTACAGTACTTTTAAGATCGATTAAATTTTAACCGATCTTAAAAGTACTTTTAAGTTCGGTTCTTCTATGACCGATCTTAAAAGTTATGTCTGATATAACTTTTAAGATCGGGTATTAAAAGAATCGATCTTGTATATCACTTTTAAGATCGGTTCTTTTGTAATCGATCTTAAAAATTGTGTCAGACATACCTTTTAAGATCGGTCATAAAATAACCGATCTTAAAAATATTTTTAAGATCAGTTAAAAATTAACCGATCTTAAAAGTGTTCACATTATTTACAAAATTGTTACCGCTTCAGTATTAAGATCGGTCACCTTTTAACCGATCTTAAAACCCTGATTTTAAAACTAATTTTTGCACTAGTGTTTTGGATTACATTTATCACATAATTTATTACCTTACTCTTACTAATAAAGATGAATACTAACTTGAACGTTGGAACGATTTTTAGAGGTACATCCTTTTCCTTTTAGGCCAAAGACTAAGGAACTGAATACTAATGGAGTGTAGGGAGAAGATGAATTTACTATAGTACTCCATTACAAGTACATTTTGGCACCTACCCTAGGGCCTCAAATTGAAGTTCCATGTTTATGATTCTTTTGTTGGATGATTTTTGGAGAAAATAGCGACTATATGAAAGAATGTGAGTGCATCGCAACCTGATCAAATGTTTGGGCCAATTGAAGTGGAGGATCATACTGATCTTTTGGATGCTAATAGGATCTTACAAGATGAGATGAACGCTATAAAACATGCACGAGAGTGTGATGTGTTGGAACTTTCAATATCTATGGACAACTTTGATGCTTTTGTTTGATGCTTCACAACACTGTATGCCACTAGCAAACCTCGCCATATGATCTCAACCACTCTTTCAAATTTGTAGCAAGTAGAAAATGAATCACTAAGGAAGTTTATGGAACATTTTGCTAACGTCTCCATAAAAATTTGCAATCTTAATCCTAAAGTTGTCCTATATTCCATGCTTATGGCTTCTCAAATAAGGACCTTTTTATGGCAATTTATGTCGTAAACAACCAGACAAAATGGATGAACTTCATGCAAGAACTGTTAGATACATGCAAATGGAAGAGCATGTCAAGTTCAGAAACAAAGTCAAAGGGAACACATATCCAATAAAAGTGAAGTGAGTAATATAGAAAAGTTAAAGGTGGTTAATGAGACAAAGTTTAAGAGACTTCATCTAGTACGAGGTTCGAGGTGTTATTTTTATACTCTCTTGAATATACCTCGAGTTAATATTCTAGAAAAAACACTACTAGAGAATTATTGCTCCCACGACTACAATTCTATATCGATTTTAAGCAAAATGATGATGTAAAAAAATGTGGCGGCACTTTTGTAATTATATGTAAAAAGTTGCAATATTTACATCGACTTTAAGGAGGACTAATGTAACTATGTGGTGTTCTACATCAATTTTATGATTGATCAATGTAATATTTAAATAGTTCTACATCATTATGTGACTAATGTAGTATTGAATCCCCGGCCCAAACCTTCCCCGTTGGAAACACATTCTCCTCCTTCAAATGTAAAAAAAAAAAAAAAAAAAGGGTAGCGACAGTTAAAAAGATAATAAAAATTATAAGTCCCCCGGAGGGGTAACACTTGAAAAATATTAATTTTTTTCAAATGTTTTTATCCCAAATAGCAACTTCTAAAAATAAACTGCTTATCGTGGAGACCAAAGCAACAAGAGAACAACAGTGCGTGTGGTGGCGGGACAAACAAGAAAAACTGAAAGAGGGAGGCCAAACGCAAATAGTGGGAAAGGGCGGGGGGAACCATTCACCAAGTAATTTTTTGTACTAACGCATGAGTGACATGTGTTGCCATTTGGAAACAACCTCTTTTAAGACATCTTCAATGGAAGCAACTCATTTGAGTTGTTTCATGTATTGAAAAATGAAAAAAGTGGTCCCTAGTGTGTCATGTCAGTATTAAACAATTAAAACACAAATTTACTCCAATAATAAGAAACTTTAAGAAATTCAACTTTTATAATTTTTTTTCTAATTATTTATTAACCAATTTCAAATTTTTATTAAAAAGGACAATTGCACTACAATGAAAGAAAATAAATTACGAGAAATAATACATAATAAATAGATATTAAAAATAAAATAAAGCAATAATAAATACATAGACATTATACAAAATTAATTTTCATCATTATTATTTTCAAAACGTTTCCAAATATATTCAATAAGATTTGCTTGAAATCCGGTAAGGAACGGTTGCTTGAGAAAACAACTCTCTTTCTTTTTCAAGCAACTCATGTTGCCACGTCAGAATCCTCCAATGACAGAAAACTGGGACTTGAGTTGCTTCATAGGACAAGCAACTCCCATTGAAGTTGCTCTTAGGTAATAAATTTCTATAATGAACCCCTTTAAATAAAAGGTCAAAATTTGCTGTATAGGTTGAACCTCCTTATACAACTTGTGCGGATACATAAAATTTGTCTTCTTTAATAAATAAATCATGACAAATGACAAGTTAAAAAGAAGAGAGAGAAAATGAAGATTAAAAAAGAAATGAGAAAAAGTAAAATTATTTATAATGTGTAATTAAATGATGAAAATAAGTATTAAAAAATGTGTATACCAAAATGAATTTTTTACCTTTATTATTATTGTAATTGATGATAATGATAATAATATGTAGATATTTATAATTTTATATTATATATATTATATGAAAAACATCAATTTATACTTATCTTTATTTTGTTTTTTTTGTTTTATATTTTTTGCAATATATATTGTATTGTTTATTTAAGTAATATATATTGTATTGTTTATTTAAGTAATATGTGTTGTTTATTTTCTAAGATTGCAAAAAAAAAAAGAACAAACAACATATATTACTTAAATAAACAATACAATATATATTTAACTAACCTCCGTTCGCTTCACGTTTGTGTACAGTTTGTGTACTCTTCTTGACAAGTCTTCTTTCAATCTAAACATGATTCACTTCGTAAGTTCGTCTGATCCTATGACGCCCTAGGTGGCTATACATGTACAGTTTTTGGGGATCTTATATCCATACGTGCAATTCACGCTCTTCATAGACATTAATTATACTAAATAGCCATCCATGCATGCCTTGTTAGTCTTTGGTATCATAAGAAAGTTTTGCAGTCCACTTGAATGTTTGGACAACGTAGAACTTTTCAAAGACCGTGTGTTCGGTATATTAGGGTTTTACCATTCTGCACTCTCTGACCAAGTCTTCCTTCGATATTAATTTCTCTTTTTTCTGAATTTAAACTTTGCACTGATAAAAAGTTATATAGGGTATGCATGGTGCCACTATAAATACCAGTACAAGCATGCCGAGTAACCTACCAACAAACCCAAGCAATTAAGCCTGAATCTTTCCTTAGATACCCATAACTCTTTGTACGTTGCATAAAGAAACTACAGCCCTTGCTTAGTTTCAGCATATTCTCATAACATTAATCCTTACTCAAGAAGAGAATATTTTTTACACACACAAATTAAACCTCCATTTCGCCCTAGCTAATTTCAAATATTATATATATTCATGGAGAGAGCACAGTCATCCATTGAACAAATTCAGCCTCCAACTTATGGAGATTTAGTTACCATTCTTAGCATCGATGGTGGTGGTATTAGGGGTATCATCCCTGCTACCATTATTGCCTTCCTTGAATCTCAGCTTCAGGTATATATATAACCTACATTACGTTGTCCAATATTTGCTAATCATTGTTAAGATTAGAAAGATACTGTCAGGATACAAGATAGACAGTTGAAAAGAACTCTTTATTTTCAATAGAAAAATTTTCAAAATTATTTTTAAGTTTGTGTTTGAATAAGCTCATAGAATAATTTGATTGATATATTTATTTGATTGGTACCATGATGCAGGAGTTGGATGGTGAAGATGCAAGGCTAGCAGACTACTTTGACGTGATATCAGGAACAAGCACGGGTGGTCTCGTAACCGCTATGTTAACTGCTCCAGATAGCAACAATAGACCACTTTTCTCTGCCAAAGATATCAAACCCTTTTACATGGAACACTGTCCCAAAATCTTCCCACAACATAGGTACTATTTCTTTTCTAGTTTCTGTTTAAACGTACTGGTAAATTTGTAATTAATTAGTAATTAGTAATAAAAGAGAAAATAATGAATGTGTTTGGGGATCAAATTAATTAACTAATATATTTGGCATGCATTGCAGTGGTCTCGGTGGGACGATAATAGCAAAGGTAATAAGATCTCTGGGAGGACCCAAATACGATGGTAAATATCTTCATGCGGTCATCGCAGAAAAACTTGGAGACATTCGGTTGCATGAGACACTCACCAACGTTGTCATTCCCACCTTCGACATCAAGTGTTTGCAACCAATTATTTTCTCATCTTACCAGGTCAATTTCCTTCTCTCTTCTTTATTTTCTTTTCTTTTGACTTCTCAGATGATTTTTCTTTCCCACTTTCGGGGTGTGGAGGTTGGGGCTATATTTACTAGTGTATGGTTATACTTGGACTTTTGTGGCTTGAAATTTTGACTCCAAAGAAATACGCCATCAGCAATATCTCAAATAGTAATTGTTGACTAGTAAGACAGAAATAATTGTCTTCTTTAGAATAAGATGATATATTTGTTTTGTTAGAGCCAGCCATGTTCATGTATAATTCTATATAGTTAATTTGTATTTTTATATCACAGAAACTAAGGGGAAAAGTAAAAACAAAATTTACTTGTATATTATTTTTCCAGTTATTACTAAATTAAAATTATATATATCAATGTTTTCAAACTAATCATATATTATGTTTTATAGAAATAAAAAATTTATATAAACTCATAAGAGAATATTAAAAGAAATGATTACGATCGATTGACTGAAGGTGAGAAAAAGTTATAACTAAGAAGTTTTGTCACTAATTTAATTTAACAAAGTCAAGTCACTCATAAGCCATAGCCTAAATATTGATTTGAAATTGATGCAGGTTAAGAATTCCCCATGCATAGATGCTAAACTCTCAGACATATGCATCAGTACGTCCGCTGCACCTACTTATCTCCCTGCTCACAATTTCAGCAACCAAGATTCAAAAGGGAACGTTCACGAATTCAACCTCATTGATGGTGGCGTTTGTGCAAATAATCCTGTATGTGTGTAATTACTTGCTAATTATTCGCCATCCGAAGTTTTTTAATTTAATTACTATGTGTAATAATTAATTATATCGGAAGCTTCACTAACTTTTTTTATTATTTTATTTTTGGGGAATTTCGTGATCCAGACCTTAGTTGCCATGAACGAAGTAACAAAGCAAATCATTAAGGAAAATTCTGATTTCTTTCCAATCAAGCCTATGGAATATGGTCGGTTCCTAATAATTTCAATAGGCACTGGAACAGCGAAAAATGAGGAAAAATTCAATGCACCAATGGCAGCAAAATGGGGATTATTGGAGTGGCTAACTCACAGTGGTACTACTCCCTTAATTGATGTTTTCACTCAATCCAGTGCAGACATGGTTGATTTCCATTTATCTACTGTGACTCAAGCACTTCATTCAGAAGACAATTACCTCCGAATACAAGTAATTAATTCATTTCTAATATACATCTTTATAATTTGTACTATAAGACTATATAAATGATGAAATTAACTTTGTTGAACAAAATATTTTTGCAGGATGACACACTGATTGGAACGGATTCTTCAGTTGACATTGCTACAAAGGAGAACTTGGAGAAACTTTGCCAAATTGGAGAAAATCTGTTAAAGAAACCAGTTTCTAGGGTCAATTTAGAGGATGGTCTCTCTGAGCCACTAAAAAATGGGGGAACCAATGAAGATGCTCTCAAAAGGTTAGCTAAAAATTAAAGGGCATTTTCTTGCAGTATTTAGTTACGAATATATTGCAACGCAGTGAACAATTATATGAATAACACTTAAATTTGATTATGATGTATTCAGGTTTGCAAAAAGACTTTCTCAAGAGAGGAGACTCCGTGAAATGAGATCCCCACACACTAAAAAGGCGCGTTCGATTTCATCAGCTTGGTGATTTAATTACTGTTTGTATGTGTTGTAAGTGAAAAATATATTTGTAAAATATTTTAGTAGAACAAGTTTTAGATAAGGTCAAAAAATAAATTGCTTATTGAAAAAAAATGCAACCTCCAGGGGGCTAGTTGGTTTGTTTATTTTTTATTTTATTTTTACACAGCTTCTGTGCATTAGTTGTAATTCAACTACAATAATATAAATTCTTGTTCTCAATTAATTTGGTTGTTATTCTCTTATTCTAAGTGTAAAATATAACCCAAAAAAAACTTATGTGCGTAAAAGTCAGTTTTATTGTGTATCACAATTTTTAAGAATGAAACTTTCGTAAATTTTTCATACATATGGAAAGACTTTATAATTTAAGGAGTATACTTCAAAGACTTTATGATAAAATGTTGATATATATATATGTTCACTTAACTCAATTCAAAATGATTGGAATATCTAAAGCTCATAGCTAGGTGTCAAAATCTAATAGGATTTAATTTGTTTGCATAAAGTAGGGTCCTAAGTTTAAACACCATCAATATTATGTACAGTACACCCCGAAATAATAAAAATAAAAATTTTCAAACCGAGTCCACTAAACTAAAATTATTGGAAATTTGACTGAAAATAACTCAAAAAAAATAAAATAAAATAATATATATATATATATACATGCACGGTGGTGTTCTGACAGTTTAATTTAGTAGTTTTTTTATTGTAGTCAAAATATTTATTAATTAGTTGCTAATAGCATCCATAATAACCAATGACGAAATTTGATCTCTAAAATCGATTTTTCTTGTATAACTTGTTCAATTTTAAATATATTGTACATAATGATTTTTGCAAATCCAAATCATTTTGAGTTTCAAAACTCCTCAGTTTAGCCTTATGTATAAGTCGCAAAATTCCTTCTTAAGTCTCTCCAACCATTATTGTATCATTTAAAAATATTGTGAATGAAATATATATATGACCATATCATTCTGGCCAAAGTTTAAACCTTTAAAATCTAATTGCATTAATTTCCAAACCTTAAACCAATAGAAGAAACCCAAAAAGGAGTTAACTAAGAGAACTCTCTATTTGAGATGCATTTTTTTTAATCTTACGTCGAAAATGTGATATTTTATTAATCCTGTAATTTATATTGTGACATTTGAGTTGTCACAATTTAATATACCTTTTTTTATCATTTGATTAATTTAATTAACTCATTCTTCAAAAAGAACAAAAGTAACTTTGAAGTACGTACAAAGCGTTTATTTATTTAGTTTTTTTAACAACATAAATACAAAGCTCTTATTAAGAACCCAAAAAAGATTAAATTACACAGCTTTTGTGACCCAAAAATAAATACTCCGGTTCTAAGCGTTTTGTAACTGTGTACATAAAACTGAATAAATACAACGTGTTTACATGACATAATTTATGTTTGTAAGGACACTCAATTTAATGTGATTCAGTACAATGTCCTAAGGATCACTACAGTAGATATTTTTCTTTTCACATGCATATAATCTAACACAATTTCCTAAAAATTGCAATTAAACTATAATTTGTGCTTAAGAATCGTTAGTGTCCAATTCTATTTTAACACAAATAAAAATTGAACATGACACTTGCACCCTACAGCAGACAATTTGACTTCAGCACTTGCGCCCTAAACTTTTAATCACATTAATTATATAAAGCACCTTTATCATACATGCATATTTAACACATCACCAATCATAATATCAAACACTAATCATACAATACAATAGATATCTCATATCCTTTCAACATTTAATGATTTCCATTGGCAGACATTTGAGATTTACGAAATCGCTTCTGTTTGGATAGTCGTTCCGCAAACCTAAAACAAAATAGTCAAACGTGAAGCTGTGACTTAAAATAAGGCACAATAAAAACAAAATCATAATAGTTAATACTGTTCCCGTGGTTATGAATTTTGTATAATCAAAATTAAATTGTTAATATGAATGTTATAAGTATATATACTGATGATTAATTATCACCATTTGTAATATGAGTATATATGATGAGTCAATATGGTTAAATTATTTTGTTAAATATATTTGATATTTGATTTTAATTTAATTAATACCTCGTCAAGGCTTCTTCATTTGTTTCATTGGATTTAGCAGGTTCATAGACACCAGTCTTCAAGTTAATCATTGAAACTGGTTTCTTTAACAATGCTTCTCCAACTTTGACGAGATCATTCAAATTCTTCTCCGTGGCCAAGTCTACTGAACTCAAGTCCCCAGTTAATGTATCGTCCTACAAAATTTGAATAGATTTTATATTAAAAATATTTTTTTAAATCATGGAATTATTTATATAAAATGACATATAAAGAATGAGAACCTGGATTCGGAGGTAGTTATGTTGAGAATTGAGTGCTCGAAGAAGGGAAGAAATGTGAAAGTCAACCATGTCAACACTGGCTTGACTAAAGGCATCAATTAAAGGAGTGCAACCATTGGTTGTGGTGACCCAACTCAATACACCCCATCCTGCTGCTTCATCTGCACTGTATTTCATCTCCTGTTTCTGAGAACCTGTTCCCAATGATATCACCAAAAATCTATCGTATTGCATCGCTTCCACATTTAAGTTTGCACATGAACCTTCGTGCCAAATCTGGTTCGTCACTTCTGCCATGGCTACCAGAGTCTGAAAGGCCATATTAACATATATATCACGTCCTTAATTATGTGGCCAATTAAATCACTTACTAGCATTTTCAAGTTGCTAAAATTATGTCCAATATAGGAGGTTATTTTAATTAATAGAAAAGTATATGCATCACCTACTAGCATTTTTTTTTATCCATAAATATGATCAACTCAGTATCTCAAAATTGATACAATCATTTAAGATTGTGTGTTTACCGGGTTATTTGCAGCGACACCACCGTCTATAAGATCGAATTTGCCTATGACATGACCATGTTGGGTTTTGGTTTCAAAGGAATGAGCTGGAAGATATGTTGGAGCTGCCGAGGTTGAAATGCATATATCTGATAACAACGCATTCAAATCTGGCCTCTCCTTCAGCTGTCAACATTTCATAATATTTATTATGTGAGAGGGACACATATATATATATATATAAGGGATCCGTTTATATAGACTTATTTTGTTCAATAATTTATGTTCTATATCAAATCTTAACGATGTAATTGTAGAATTTAAAGTTCTTAATCTACAGATAAAATCTATAAAAATTTTAAAAACTTGAAAACTATTTAATATTTCGTTTCATTCATTCAAATTAATGAATACGATGATATTTCGTTGAGATTTGATATTAAACATAAGTTATTTAACGAAGTAAGTTTAAGTAGACTTACTCCTAAAATAAAAAAAAATTTCTCTTCATATATATATAACATATCATAATTATAATTAAATTAAGAGTGTAAGAGGGATGAACCTGGAAGTTGGAAAAAATGGTTGGTTGAAGGCGCTTGATATCAAATGTTGGGATGATCACATTGGTCAATGTTTGGTTCAATTTTGTGTCTCCTAGTTTTTCCCTCAGAATTCTGTGTAAATACTTGCCGTTGTACTGTGGGCCAAAGAGAGTTCTGAACAACTTCACCATAAATGAGAATAAAGTTCTGCACCCATATTCGGGACCATTACAGTGTAAATTAGTACATATTGATTGAACATATATACATATACTTTGATTGCATGTTTTAATCAAGTTTATGGCAAGTATGGTATTTACTTATTTTGTGGGAAGATTTTTGGACTGTGTTCAAGGAAGAAATTCTTAATATCTTTGGCTGCATACAAGGGTCGATTATTTTGATTTGGAGCAGTAAGCATTGTTGTGACTAATCCACCTGTGCTTGTTCCCGCAATCACATCAAAATAGTCTGTCAATCTTACATCATCACCATCCAGCTTCTGCATGCACCATAATAATTGACTATACATTAATTAAAATGTGTGAAGGTAAAGGCCTAAACTGCACAGTAATTTAATTTATGTACGCAGTACTAAACAAGTAATTCTAGTATTTTATTCTCGATAGATAAGATGTCTAATCTATTTGATTTATTTTGTAACATTGTTAATGTTAAATAAGATTTAAATAATTTTAATTTTAAAAAATTTCTTTTAACAATAGCAATTATTACCGGTGATTTTTCTCTCACTTTTTTTCTGAATTTGAACTTGTTTTTATATCTCTCTTACTAGTAATAACAAATTTAGCAAGAGATTGAATTAACTCTTCTACTTTTCTCTTTTCCTTCAATTTTTCAAAGTCAAATTCATACTTTCTATTTAATATTTTATGCTACTACAACTCAATGAAATATAATATAATAAAATAAACAAGTAAAACAAAAAAATAAAAACAAAAGTATTACAAAATAAATAAAAAAATGATGAAATGATAGAACCTGAAAATTATAAGAATTATGCCTTGATATCATTCACAACAATAATTTGAAATCAATTATCCACCTTAGCAATTCACTTTAAATTTTTAAAAAATATAAAAATAATCAAAAGAGAAAAAAGAATGAGAAGATCAACATATATAATTTGAGATGAAAAAAAGTATTAGATTTGTAAGATATATAAAGAAAATAAATTAATACTCATTATTATTTTCTCACATTTTAAGACACAATTTTCAAAATACTAATGTTACATATAAACAAAACAAAAAAAAATATTAATTAAAAAATAATATTGAAATGAATAGTTAATTATAGATATAATTAATTATTAGTTTCAAAGCTACTGGAAGTTGAACTCTTAAATTTTTTTAACATTAATTTACTAGACAATAAACTTTTAAATTTTTTACATAATAGGGATATTAAGGATTCTAAAATTTGGGGACATAACACCCTTGGGACCGATGGAACAGATCAAACACGGCCCTCAATATATATATTAGGTTTTTATGAAAAAATATAATCTTATATTTTATTAATGCAAGTATATATATATAATATATCAAACTTGACTTAAATTTAACGGCTTAACTCCTTTTTCTTAAGAGAAGTTACGCTGACCCAAACTATATAATATGCAGCTCTTAACAAATTTTATCAACACTAATTAACATAAGTAAAAATATTTGTGCTCTTTAAATAAATTATCCAGTTTCTGACAATATAGATATATCATATTAATTCTATCGTTATCTTAAAATAAAAAAACTCCACAAAATTTTACATGACAATTATTTTAAGTTTTTAATTTACAATAAGAGATTAATAATATTTTATTTCATACTATGCAGATATTATATTATATGATCAATCAATGATCACCTAATTAATTATTTAATATTTATCCTCTCATAGATGATATTCTTTTAAAATCTATACCTATATAATTTGCATATTACCTGAAGTTCTGATTCGAGGAAACCAAGTATGATTCCTGGAATGATTCCTCGAATGCCACCCCCATCAATACTAAGCACTGTAACTAGGTGTCCTTCATCATCACATGGAGTTGGAGCTACAGAAACTTTTGTTGTTTGATCCATCGAGTTCAATTAATAAGTTGCTATACCAGAGAGAGAGATATGGAACAATGGAACCTCGTAGATACTCTTCAACAAGCTTAGTTATTTGCTTTTCAGAAGAAAGTGTAGTTTCGTGGCTAAAGTTGCTGGAGAGAAGTTGTATATATATAGATCAACAACCACACAGATTAATTAGAGTAATTGTATTGCCTTGTTTTTAGCGTGTTAAACTAATCTCCAGATTGCATGGATAATATCATTTTCAACAAGAGAAATTCAGCATTTCTACACTTGATATTAATGTATCGGCGACTCCACATGTTAATTGTGTTTTTTGGATAGCTCGGACAAATCAAGAGGATATAGGGAATAGCGAGACTAAATATTCAAATTTTTCAACTTAGATTCATATATGATATCCTTCTTCAATCCTATTACTTTATAAAGAAAGTATTTCGGTATGTAAATTTTTTTTTATGATACTTAAAAAAAAATTTATAAACATTATTTTCTCTTATTGATCCGTCAATTCTAAAATAAAATCACAACAATCTAATAAATATTAAAATATATAATATTTTAACTATAACGAGTTTAACAATGTCAATAGATTAAAAGTCAAAATATTAAAGTTTTTTAAATCATTTATATCTCTTTAATCTTGATCAAGAGGGTTTGTTTGGATGTTTTCTTCTTAGACTTAATAATTGTGGTTAAAATTTAAAATTACTTTTATTTATAAATATTTAATGTAGGTAATGTTTAAATACATGTATTTATAATTTTTTTATCGTAAATAAAACTTAAAAAATTGTTACAATCAATGACAGATCTAAAAAATTTTAATTAATGGAAGCAAAAAATAATATTTAATACTTTTACATAAGATAAATAATAAAAACTTCTATAAAATTCATAATTTCAAGATAAAAGAAATTCAAAATGTAGGTTCAACACTTTATTTTGTTTTATAAGCTTCTACACAAGGTTTTTTTCTTTTATTTTTTATAACTTTTGAAATTTATTAAAAAAAATTATTTTAGTTGGAGAATATTGTAAAATAAATAAATTACACTCTCTGCGTATAGGGTAGGTAAAACAGTATATTTATTTTTCTCCACCACACAACTACATTATTTTGAATACAAACGGCAACCATTTTTGTTGCCTTGTTTTTACAATACATACCAGGAATACATATAGAGTAATTCTTCACATGATAACCGTGTCTTTATTACAAAGGCCATTCTAGGAGGAGACGTGTCGAGACAAAACATTAACAGTCAAACCTTGTCGCAATAATTGTGTACTTAATGGATATTTTTGGTAAACTTCTCCGAAAATATATTTACAAGAAAAAAATAAGTTTTTTTCTATAAATTAAAATTAACCTTATCTTAATTTGTAAAAGTTTATTTTTATTAGCTTTTTTTTTTTAATTTTAACTTATGCGTAAGTTTGCTTTAGTTTATTTTTCTTCTTTGTTTCTCTTAAAAGTATTTTTAGGTAAATTTATTTAAGCATATTATTTTTTAAAAATGTATTTTTTATTTTTAAAATAAGTTAAAAATGTAAGATATGAATAGGGTAAGAATTTCTTATTTCTTTCCTTTTCATTTTTCACTTAAACTCTTCGTCCTTCCTCACCATTTTCCCAGCTAATCACTAGAAGGGGTGAGGAAGTTCGAGCTCCGGGGTTAGGAACTTCGAGTTAGTGGTGTGCGGGATCATCTTCTCCTTCTCTTCTTCTACCTCGTGTTGTCAAAGATGAGATGATGATGTGATGTCCCTATGTTGTGTTTGTGTATATATATATTGTTTCCTTTTTTTCCTACCTTACCATTACTTGTTTCCACGTGGTTTGGACTGTGATGATCATATGTGGTATGTGAGCAAGGCAAGGATAGGGTTGAAGTGTTGCAATAGAGGTCATACAATGGCGTTGGAGTTGAATGTTTTGATGACTACCTATTGGGGATAGATTTGTGTAGATAGTTATAGTTACTTAACTGACAACTTAGTTGTATATTTACATATATGCAAGATTACTATATGTATATTGCACATATTGGACTAGACGTTTCATCCTTTTACGAATGCAATATTGTACCTATTCTAGCATTTGCAAGTATATGATCTTAAGTTAGTAGTTGTGTCTTTTAGTGTAAGGATCATGGCGAGTCATTACAAAAAAATAATTTATAGACATATCATATATAACATATTTCTCAAACACTTCCACAAGAAATATTTATATCCTAAGATAAATGTAAATTAATTGTAATTAAATAAGCTTTAACAATCAAGTTATGATATAAAATTTTTATTTCTTAGTCACAATAAACAAGAACATACATTATAAGGAAATTGACCTATAATCACTAAAAAAATGTTACATATAGTAACATACAAGAGCAAATTAAATATCATGTTTTCCCTTCATCTTAATCTTGTTCTATTCCCATAAAAAAAGTATGATCATCACAATCCAATAACATAGAAAAGAAAAAGGAAAGTTTGTATGCAAAGAAACAACATATTATAGAAGAAATTAAGGTATATATATGTGTCTGTGTGTAAACTCCATCCCAATATACAACCACAACAATTAGCTCAACTTAACAACAGAACTAATTAATCATGTAAATCAATCATTTTACATTTTACTATACAACTTAACAATGCCACATATTTATCAACACAACATATTATCAATGTAACATTTTCACGATATGATTCGACTTTATTAATCAACTTTACCATGAAGCCTCCAACTTAGCATTCAAGAATGCCTATAATCTTTGACAACTTTAATATTGGATAACACAATAACATTATATAACTTATCAACATATAACATAGCAACTTAACAACGCAACAACCTTATAACACAATAACATTATTGGAATAATATAATATAGCAACTTAACAAAACAACAATTTTATGGTTCATCATATATTTCAATTAAGAGATATCTTTCAACAAAAGTGAGTAGTTTAAGTGATTTGGCCCTACCAAACTAACAAAAACACAATTTTTTTAGCTTGTTAGATCAACAACAAAAATGAATTTCAATCCACAACATAACATAATTTCTCGAATTTCACCATTTACACTAAAAATGTCCAGTATTCATCATCAAGAATAATATAGCTTCGGTGTGGGTCCATCAGGACATTGACATTCATTAACCTAGTCATCTATGGAAGCAATACCATGCGTCTTTCCAATAATCAGTTGAAAATTTTACCCACTACAAGAAAAACGTAAATTTTCTAACGGATATGGATCCGTCAGAAAATTTATATTTTTCGACGAAGAATTTTTGTCGGAAATTTCCAACGGATTTATATTTCCATCAGAAATTTACGACAGAATTTTTCGTCAGAAATTTTCTGTCAGAAATTTTTCGTCGAAAATTTTCGATGAAAAAATAAATCCGTCGGAAATTGCCCTAAATCCTAAACCCTAAACCCTAAACATTTTACTAAGTATTACACCGCTCAATAACTTTATATTAAATGTGAATTTTGTAAATCCAACCGTTAAATTGAAAATTTTTTACTCTTAAATCATATATACAAAATGTTATATTAATCGAAGATGATTTCTCATTAAAAAAAATTAAATCTGTTGGAAAATTTATATTTTCAATGAAAATTTTTTTTATAGGAAAGGTTATATTGATGGAATATTTCCGACAAATTTATATTTGTCGAAAATGTAAGAATTGGTTTTAAATTTGATATGAAAATATTATGATATAATTAGATAAGATTTTAAGTTAGTATTTTATTAATGGTTGATAATTAGAAAATAAAACAAGGATAAATACATTTTTTGAATTTTATATGTTTGATTTAAGATAACTTATAAAATAACTCTTGGTAAAGTTGTTCCACTCAATAACTTATGGTGTGTGTTGAATTTCATCAATCTAATTAATTGTTAAATTAAAAGTTATTAAATTTTACTAATAATTAATATAAAAAAATTTAAATAGCTTTGGAATAAATTATTTGCTAATTAACAATATAATTGAAATATTAATTATTTTAAATTATTTAACTAAAATCTTATTGACAATTTACTATATGATCTTAATATTTTTGTATAACTAATATCTGATTTTAAATTTGATATGAGAATATTATATATAATTAGATAAGATTTTAAGTTAGTATTTTATTAATAGTTGATAATTAGAAAATAAAACAAGGATAAATACATTTTTTTTTAATTTTATATGTTTGATTTAAGGTAAATAAATATATTAAATTAATTAATAATTTATTTAAAATATTAAAATTTAATTTATAAGTATGTAATAAATAAATATTTATAATTTTATAAATTATATTATCATTATAAATTATAAAATTAAATAATTTAAATTATAATTTTAAATAGAAATAAGTAGATGTTAATTATAAAAGTAAGTACATATAAATAAAGAATAATTGAATATATTATTATTATTATTATTCGTAATATAAAATTATTATATATTATTATTATAGTACAAGTATGAGATTGTATATTTGAGGATGACTTAAATAAATTAATTTGTACAAGTTATATTCACAACATACATATACATTTCGGTAGCTTACTCATCAGAACTTCATAGTTAAACGTGCTTGACCTGAGGTAGTATTGGAATGGGTGACCTTTTGGGAAGTTTCCCAGAAATTGCTCAAGTAAGGATAAAACACGCTAAAAGTGAAATGTCATGAAGTAGAACCCTTGAGAGGCTAAATATGAGGACTATTACATTAATAAATTTATTAAAATTAAAAAAATATATATAATTTCTGAAAAATTTCCGACAGAAAATTACATCGAAAATTTCTGACAGAATTTTTCGATGGATATTTTCGATAGAATTTTCCGACGGAATTTCCGTCAGAAATTCTCGATGGAATAAATTATTTTTGACAGATTTTTTTTTCCGACGCCACTTTTTTCGACAGATTTAAATCCGTCAGAAATCCATCAAAAAAAACAAAATCCGTCAGAAATTTACCCTTTTCCGTCGAAAATTAGCATTTTTCTTGTAGTGACCCCACAACTTCATACCTTATTCAATATGTCCATTTCTAAACTAGTGTGG